AAGACAACGCAAAAGAAAAAAATGTGGCCACTGCCTTTTGGGACGCCTGCTTTATCCCAGGAGCGAGCACATTAATAGAGCTTGGAATGAAATGCCATTTTATTCTCTGTAGCAGGGAGGGGATTAACAAGTTGTCTTCTCTAAACCCAGTCTGAGTCATGGCTCTCTGAGCACTGAGAAAAGGATGTGAAGAAAAGTGAAGGGTGGGGAGCACTGGTCTTTTATGTACATGTTGCTTCTTTTGTGGGTGGTTACTGATGTGCAGAGTTTGCTAAACACAGAAGGAGGGAGGAAAAGTTCTGAGTCCCCAGACTTTAATTCCACTGGTTAACAAAGGGCAAAATAATAATGCAGCAATTATAATAAAATCAGACAGACAGTGTGTCCAAGGCAGCGTTCCAAGTCACCATAGCACGCAAACAACAAGGGCATGTTACTGAAGGTACTCAAAGAACTGCCCATTTTTCAAGGTCTGTTCAGTGGCTTCCTGTTGCTAGGAGGTTCTTCTTGGAAGAGAGATGCAAGCTGGATAGAACCCAAGACAGGACAGTGAGCAGTATGCAGGGAGGATGGTTGTGCAATTTCTTGAGATACTTCACAGGAAGGTGGAGTCTAGGTTCAGGTAATGTGGTTAGGAACAAAGACTGTCACACAAGATCAGACCACTAGTCCATAAAACACAGTAGCCTGCCTTCAGCAGTGGCCAATACCTGGTGCTTCTCTTGTTGACTCACTTTGTGGCCTGGGGCAAAGCACTTCATTTCTCTATTTGCCCTCCTGCAAGATGGGGATAATAAGGCTTACCCACCTGCCTCACAGACACATTGTAAAGACTCGTTAGTTAAGATCTGTACAGCACTCTGAATACGTGAAGAGCCATATAAATACGAAGAGAAAAAAACAGTAGCGCACTTGGCCCCTTGTGCAAAGCTGCAGCTGTTTAAAAGGGTTGGAGAGTGAAGGAAAGGGATACTCAGATGCCTATAAATGCCACAGAAGCAGTCTCCGTGATTTGTGCTGCTTTGACCTTTGCTGCAGTATGATCTCTGTAAAGTAGAATTTACTCACTGTAGGGGAAATCCCATTTTCATTCCCCGCCCCTCAGTACACTAGAATACAAATTTAAATGTGGTACTTGATAAAAGGTGACAAAACACAGGACAGCTGAGTCTGATTAGGTGTGTGCGCATGCAAGGTAGAGAAGGTAAATCCAGTAACCCACCATGATTGATGGGATTGGTGCGTTATGGGCTGAGAGAGATATTATGGAATGGAGACAGAGCATCATACAGAGGGAAGAACCGCCCCACTTCCCATTTCTTCTTGTTATACAGGAGCAGTGGTGGTCAAGTGCACTGTGCTTGGGGCTGGGAGTTGGCAGACCTGAGTTTCATCCCTAGCAAAATCTGTGTGACTTTGTTTGTGTCTGAGTTCCTCAATCTGTATAATGGAGATAATCAAATGTATTCACTTTGGTAAACTACTTTCAGATTTACAGATGGTCTAGTGCTTCAAGACTAAACAGCATGACTAGTCTGCTCCTTCAGTTGGTTTGTTGCTCATTGAGTTCAGATGGGGGTGGCAAATTCTGCATTCTTCAGTACTCAACAAACAGTGCCTGATAAAGGGACCTTGTAGCATAAACAAATGTTTGGTTCTACCCAGTAAGTTCAGAATACTGATACATATACCCACAAAGGAACTTTCTCTCATTCCATCCAAGACATAGCTCTGTTCTAGTTTTAGGACTGTAAGCAATTTGGGCAGGAAATGCATGTTCATATATGTTTGTACAGCACTTAGTATAATGACGCCCGATCCTAAATGGGGCCTCTGAGCACTACTGCAACACATGCCCGCACTAAGATGGTGAGCTGGCAGGGAGAAGCAAGGTGGTCAGTATGATTAACATGGGGCACCATCAACCCCTAGATGGCGTATTCCAACACGGAGCCCAGGATGTAGGGCAGGGGTGGGCAAACTACGGCCCGTGGGCCGGATCTGGCCCGTTAGGGCTTTGGAACCTGCCCATAGGATTGCCACCCCATGGAGCCGTGGGTCATGTGCTGCTCCCGGAAGCAGCCGGCACCACGTCCCTGCGACCCCTGGGGAAGGTACCTGCAGGTGAGCGCAGCGCGCGGAGCCCTCTGCCCCCCCTCCCCCAGGAGCCGGAGGGACGTGGTGCCAGCTGCTTCTGTGAGCAGCGTGGGGCCAGGGCAGGCAGGGAACCCACCTTAGCCCCGCTGCATGCCGCTGCCACCCCAGAGCTGCTCCAGATAAGTGGCTACGGGCCAGAGCCCACACCCAAACCCCTCCTGCACCCCCTCCTGTGCCCCAACCCCTTGCCCTGAGCCCCTTTCTGCACACTGCACCCCCTCCCTACAGAGTTTCTCAAATGCAGCCACATGCGGCCACCAGGGATTTTCTTGCAGCCACAGCCTCCTGGGCACTGAGGGGGGTGCAAAGCAGTGCCTCTCCCCCAGGGCCATCAGGGGCCGGAACCACAAATGCTGGAGGAGCAGGCAGCCAGTCAGTTCCCCACCTTCCCGGGGGCGTGAGGCTCGGCCTTCAAGCATCAACCCTGGGGCGGCAGGTGGCAGGCTCCAGTCATGGGACTTTGGGCTCTGGCCCTGGCCCCCAGCCATGCAGTGGCCAGTGCCAGCTCTGGACTTACCCATCCCCCATTGTCCCTGGCCCGCACAGCCTCCTCCAGCCCAGGACTCTGTGCGGTGGCAGGCTCTGACGCTGGGCTCACCTCAAACCCCATTGCCCCAGTCCCCATTGTCTCCTTACCCACCTCCCCATCCAGAGCTTTACTAGCTAGCAAGTCTTTTCTAAAAAAAGGCAACTAAAACCAAAAACAACAAAGGACAAGAATGTGCAAAGCACCTTATTTGTGCTTCTATTCTGTTTAGATCCAGTAAATAGAGAACTGTACATTACCTTTATTACTGAGTCTGGAAAAAAAAACCCAACCCCTATATAAATAAATTATAATTTGGACACGTATATGTGCATATTTATTTGTTTTTCCTAAAGTCAAGTAAGTATTTTAAGAAAAATTGTCATAGTGGCCACCAGCAAGAGTTGGTGGCCACACTCTAAAGTCACCAAAAAATTTATTGTGAGAACCCCTGCTCTAAGAATCTCCATTCTAAAAAGAGGTAGATGATATGAGGAACTCTTTCCCCCTCACATTTACAAGCCCTGCATAGCCTGTCCTTTCCCAATTATTAAGGCTTCCAGCGCATGGTTCCCAAGCTATTTTTTCAAGACAACAATGTGAATTTCAAAACAGATACCACATTGGAGCCAAAGGATAGTATTCCCCCCCGGGGGGGGGGGGGAGTGGGCTGCTGTCCATCTAAGTGAACCCAAAGAAAGTCTTTCTATTTATAGTGGCCAAAGTCTGCTTACTCTTCCAACAGAAAATATTACAAGAAAGGGCAAGTAGGAAATCTCAGAGTGGCTGCTCTTAGGGACACAAAGAGAAGGGGAAGGAACCTCTAAGACCCTAGAACATTCTTGCTAAATCTCAGGAAATCATTAACTTTTGTACTGATCTCAACTGTTTACCATTTCAAGGAATGGCTGCATTACCAGATGGTAACATATGCTGCAGATCTTCATCTTGCAAGGAACAGGGAAGGTCAAATAAACCTCATGGGAACCCAAGTGAAGGCTGTCCTAAATACAGGTTTGACACATAGCCTATGACAACAAATACAGGATATAACCTGGGGTCTTAATCTCCTCTAAGAATTCATTATTTATGTTATATATTATATCCTTGTTACATGTATTCTCACCAACTGGCTACACAATTCTGGACGCACACGCAGATAAAATATCTTCTCTCTGCTCCAAGGCGGCTAAAGAAAAGACTGTCAGGTCTTGATTACAACATCTACAATTTTTAAAATTTAAGTTAATAATTTAAATTTTACTAAGAAGAGTTATCTGAAAATGTCTGGGATGTATCAGCGCCTTGATTTTGTAAGTACACTGCATGTGAGCTTTTACAGCAACCAAACTGTCCAAGCACCAGTGCGGAATTATAACAAGTTATGTGATGCTTTGATGGCCAGTTATAATAAAAAAAAGAATACAATATAATATACTGTGCACCCCACTTACATACACCTGTATAATCTATTTATGTAGTTAAATATCATGCAGTCTGGACTTGATCCAACGGGACTGCATATGTTGTTACTCCAGTATATTGCATGTTGGCCAACTGTTTGTTGTACCAAACTGAGGTACAAATGCGGCTCTTAACAGTATAATTTCTCTGGACTCATGAATAGTAAAGAATTCTCATAAACTTATATTTTTTCTTAGACAGTTGTTAGTAGTACATGTGGAACAATGAGCTGGAAAATGCTACTGGCACACAAAAATGGAGGAATTTGGACATGAAATGCACTGTAGTGGCAAAAGAATACACACAATATTAAAGGACTCCGAGCCACGATAAAAACCATATTTCAGAAAATACATTTCATCTCTGTCACTATAAACACACATGATAATTAAAACAGATTTTAGTGTTGTTTAGGTGTCACCATTTATGCTATTTACTTTTTACATTTCTCTTGCCTGTACAAAATGAAAAAAAAAAGTTTCTCTTTTCTGCTCTTCTGCACTAGCCCAGCAATGTCTGGGTTGCAAACACTGTGGTGGACAGTTTAAATGTAAACCAAAAATACTTTTTATTGCTATTCTAAAAACCTTGAAAACATTCTAATCCAATTTGTGTTTTCTAGACCCCATCCTCATCTCCTTCTATTTTTATTTTCAAAGAAATTCTACACTTTGACCCTAAACTTTCTCCCTTAAAGTTAGCACAACAAGAGAGTTTAAAACTGTTCAGGTCTCTAAATACTTATTCTGCAGTAACATCACACTTCATTTATGTAAATATCCAGGGGCTATTCCCACACAGTGTATTATAAATACAAACAAAACTGTTGAAAAGAACCAAAATGATTTCTTACTTTATGTGGTTCTCTGCACCAGTGGCTGCCTCATGGAATTGCTCTGATGTCAGCTTGTAGATTTCAGCATTCTGAAACAAAGCAAATATTGCTCATCACTCAAGATTGTGCTTTTTTTGTATCCTACCCTGTGATGTAATTGTCTTCTATAATAAACAACATTCATTTCTCACCCAGCAGGCACCATATTCTGCTACAAAACAACTTAGGCTCCACCAATATAAAATATGAATATGAAAGAACATATGCACTTCTAAACAGATCACATCAAGGCAACAAACTTGAGTCACACCGCTGCAGACACCTCATGTGGGGAGGGGTAGGCCTCTTGGCCAATGCTCAGTTTGTGTTATTTCATCCAAACTTATTTTCCAGCAGGTGTTTCCAGTGCTGCTTGGGGTTTGTTTTGGTTTTTTTAATTGCTGTGGGGAGCCTGTAGGTTACTGACTTGCAAGTGTCAAAGCTAGCTGCTAACACTGTTAGCCTAAAAGAGAATTAATTTTATATTTCAACCCCACTGTCCATGTAACTTGCTTTTTAAGGAAAATTCCTTGAGCCATTTGCAGACTAGCTACCATGCTTCCTCTTTAACAGTATAGTGAAGAGTATCAGACTTGAGTCAATCTGAAAGAGTAGATGCAAACTGATACAAGAACAACCACTTTTTAAAATAAATGAAGAGATGAGATAAAAATAGTCTCAGGGGGTAAACACTGAAATTCGACATAGGGCCCATCCTTGCTGCTCTCCTACCTGTCTCCCGATTTTGTCGTTTTATATTAAACACAGTTCCCTTCCTCCCAACTTTTTCTCCTGTGATTGCAACTCTGGCCCTCCATATCAACTCTGGCCCTCCCCTGCAAGTATTGTTCAGTGGTTAGAAAAGAGAACAGGGCAAGTCACCATTTATGTGTCTCAGTTTCCCTTCTGTAAAGTGGGGATAACACCTGCCTATTCCACAGAAGTCTTGAGATGTTTAGCTAATGGAAAGGTTTATGAAGTGCTCCGTTGAAAGGTATTTAAGTGTCATTTCTATACATATCTGCATTTATGTAACACACACAAACCACAGCAAGGAATTTGTTTGCACAAATTCTGACCTCATAATCGCTCTTAGACCTGACAAATCATGGATCAGTAATCAATCCAAAATAAGTTTTGCCAGCAAGCTGCCATGAATGTCTTTGTTCGCTTATTTGTTACATAATCGTCAAACTTCAATGTGGCAAAATCCTTTCTACTTCTTTCATTAACAAAAGTTCAAATTTTAATGGAGTCTTTTTCTCTGCCCTGTAAACAGATCCGATGACTTCCAGCTCCCTGCTGTTGCTTATTCACATATGAACCTACAAAACCTATGTGCCAATTCATTAAATTTGCCATTAAAAATGATATAATGTGAAAACATACGGTCTGAGTGTTATTTTCCACGAGTTTCATAAGTCTCACTGTTTCTCCAATTACTTCCCAAGCAATTTTCATATTTCATACCACCTGATTTCTCAAAGGGTCTGGATTTGTGAGATCAAAAAGAGAGAAAGAGGGAAAGCGAGAGAGAGAGAGAAAGGAAAGTAGGAAAATTAAGCATTTTTCCAGCAATAGGAAGTAATGCCATCAGACACCATTAGCCAGCAGCAATTTGCAGTGAAACAGCAGCAGGAGAGGAAAACAGGAACAAATATGTTATATGTGAGGCCCAGCATGAAGCTGGCATTTAACCCACCCAAGGAAGGAAAAAGCAGCAGAGTTGTTTGCTAGTAGGATTGTAGAATTAAAGCACTTGTGCAAGGGCCTTTGCGTGGTTTATGAGAGTGGGAGAGTTCAGCCCAATGATTTTATTGTGACAGAGGCAGTAGAAATACTGATGATGCCACTACTGCATCAAGTTCCTGCCCGAGCCCCTAGGCAACAATGGGTGGGATCCTCAAGCATGGACAGAAGTACTGAGGCATGGAACCAGTAAGACATCACTCCGGCTCTCAACTTGGCTGGGAGGCAGGCAAGTGAGAACTCAGATGGGGAGGGGCACCTCAACCTCAGTGATCAGGAGGGAGGGAAAGATGACAATCCTGCCAGACCACATGCCAGATCACCTGGCAAGTCTGATGTGGGTGTCATGTGGGAGTGTAATTGTAGATGGGGGCATAGGAGGCACAGAAAGGAATTTAAAATGCCAAATTTAAAAGGGGAGGAAGGAAATCTAAGCACAGATTCTATAATCCCCCTTTCCACTAATCGAGATAATTCTCTGGTTTGCTTTTGGTTTAATCCTCTGTTTTTCATTTTGGGAAGACTTACTGCTTCCAATGTTATGAATCAATATTGTTAAGTGCTTCCAAAAGAAGGAAAAGTTCCAGATTGGCCATTCAAACTCTGGCTTGCTCAGCAACTAGAAGTGTTAAAAGATTTCCCCATTCCTTTGGGCCTCTTCCTCTTTGGGGGTTGCTCATTCACCTGAGCCAGATGGGGGAGCAGAACAAGGTGGTTGCTCATTCACTTCTGTCCTTGCTTCAGATTTATGCCATACATAGAACCATACAAATGTAGGGCTGGAAGGGATCTTGAGAGGTCATCTAGTTCAGCCCCCTGCACTGAAGTAGGATCAAGTAAACCTAGAGTGGACCATCCCCGACAGGTATTTTTTCAACCTGTTATTAAAAAATCTCGAATGATGGGGATTCCACAACCTCCCTGGGAAGCCTATTCCAGAGCTTAATTACCCTTATAGTTGGAAAGTTTCCCCTAATATCTAACTTAAATCTCCCTTGCTGAAGATTAAATCCATTACTTTTTGTCCTACCTTCAGTGCACACGGAGAACAATTGCTCACCATCCTCTTCATAACAGTACTTAACATATTTGAAGATTTATCAGGTCTCGCCCTCATGCTTCTTTTCTCAAGAGTAAATATGATCAGATTTATGACCTTTCCTCATAGGTCAGATATTCTAACCCTTTGACCATTTTTGTTGTTCTCCCTCTGGACTCTCTCCAATTTGTCCAAAACTGACCCAGTACTCCAGCTGAGGCCCCACCAATGCTAAGTAGAACAGGGCAACTAGTGAAGGAGTGTTGTATTTAATATAGCCAGAAGGATATTAGCCATTTTTGCAATTGCATCACATTGTTGACAAATTCATTGATCCACTATTACCCCCAGAGCCTTTTCAGGAGTATTACTGCCTAGCCAGTTACTCCCCATTTTGTAGCCAATTCTTTTCTTCCTCAGTGTAGTACTTTGCACTGGTCTTTACTGAATTTCAGTTTGTTGATTTCAGACTAGTTCTCCAAATCATTTAATAAGAACAAATTCCACCCAACTGCCTCTCAATCTGAGCAGTGAGCAGGGGTGGTTTTACAGTTTTGGGGCTTTTCCCTCAGTGAGAGAGTAGTTTTGGGTGTTCTTTACATTCAATCTACATCTGCAAAATTTGCTGCCTCTTGTCATAGTTTGAATCCTCCCAGTGTGATCCTGTACACCACCACACTGTGACAGAACATTCCAATGGCTAATATTAAACCAAGACTTTCTAACTGTCCTGAAAGCTCAGAACAGGCAGCCAGGTGAAAATGCAGAACCACCTTACCCACATTACACTAGGGGACAACTTCATCAGGTCACACATAACCACAGGTACTGTTGGTCCATTGCTCAACCCCAACAGAGAGACTATTGGCCATATATTGCGTAAAGAACCCTACATTAGGAAAGAAGATTCAGCTGCAAGCCTGTGTAAAAAAATATGCTCAGAAAACATCCCACACTCACAGTGTTGCCAACTCTCATGATATTTAATGTTTTTCTTAAAGCCCCAGCTCCTGGAGACAAGTGGTTACAATAGAATTTGAGCTGCCATTAAAAAAATAATTCTAAATTTCCAGCCCTTATGGTACAGAAAAAAAGTTTGATAATGTGCCCCACATGAACCTAAAAGGCTTAAAGGAAAAGAATCTGAAATGTATTTTTATCTAAATCTCATGAGTTTTGGGGGCCTTACTCATGATTTTTGATGTTTCGGGTTGGCAATTTTGGGATTCTGTCTTTAGAGTGTGAACAAGCTGCACCGATGCAGTGCAAATTCAAAGGGTTTACCACTTCTGATAAGTAATTGGTTGATAGTGAGAATATGAATATATAGTCTCAGATCTCGCTCTTTCACGCGCACGTGCGCACCTTGAAATAAAAACTTCCCTTCCCCACTAAAACTGAGGTTCAAAATAAATTTTGGTTAATTTTCCACTGTGACAAAGTTCCTGCTCTACCTTGGTGGGTCTTGCGCTTATTGGCAGATTTGCTCGCCTTGGAGCTTCACGGCAGCCTTCAGCTTGGCCGTTTTTCTGAATTCACAGTCCAGGTCGACTCCTCCTGTGTCTGACCAGGAATTGGGAGGATTTGGGGGGAACCCGGGCTCTGTGGAATGCAGCTGTCTAGAGTGCCTCCTGGAACAGCTATGCGACAGCTACAACTCCCTGGGCTACTTCCCCATGGCCTCCTCCCAACACCTTCTTTATCCTCACCATAGGACCTTCCTCCTGGTGTGTGATAATGCTTGTACACCGCAGTCCTCCAACAGTCCACATTCTCACTCTCAGCTCCTAGTGCCTCTTGCTCCCAGCTCCTCACACGCACACCGCTCCTTTTAAAAACTCAGGTGCCCGGATTAGCCAGCCTTAATTGATTCTAGCAGCTTCTTGATTGGCTGCAGGTGTTCTAATCAGCCTGTCTTAATTGTCTCCAGAAGGTTCCTGATTGTTCTGGAACCTTCCCTGTTACCTTACCCAGGGAAAAGGGACCTACTTAGCCTGGGACTAATATATCTGCCTTCTATTACTCTCCTACAGCCTGCATTCTCCAGAAGGTGGTCTGTTTTTCACGATGGGGCTTTCAAGAAATTCCTTTCTGGCTTATGAATACACGAAAACACGTGATTTCAATTACTCTCCTATTGCCATCTGGCCTGACACTGTCATACCACATACACACAGGCTCTAGTATGTTATCCTACTCTTCTGTATGTCTGGTTTCTTCCAAGAGAGAAAGCAGAAAACTCAAAATATAGCAAGGAAAGCA